GGAGGTTTCTTCCTGTTAAAAGGGAGTTTTTCCTTCCCACTGTCGCCAAAGTGCTTGCTCATAGGGGGTCATATGATTGTTGGGTTTTTCTCTGTATGTACTGTACCATATGAAGCACCTTGAGGCGACTTTTGTTGTGATTTGGCGCTATATAAATAAAATAGAATTGACCTTTCAGCCCAATTCTATTTTTCTGCATAATCCATCACAATGTAATCAAATGAAAAAGTCTCTTTTTAAAACTTATTTTATTTGTTTTAATCTTTGCATCAAGCAAATATTAAATTATATGCAACAGTGTTTAAAAGTGTTTAACTTGTTTAACATTTAAACCTATAACCTGCAGCATATAAAATAAAATCGTGCTTTGTGTATATCTTTCCAACAGATGAAAGTAAAACACATCAGAAAAGAAATAAAATCACAGATTCAGCAGCACTGAGTCGTGTTGCTCTTAAATTTATTGTCACCAGTTTAGCAGGAGTGGGGCGGGTGGAGGTTTGCCCACAGCGGTCATGTCAGTGGGAGGATCCGGGGGTTTCTCTGTGAATGTCACGTTCCCGTGGCAGCGTGCTCGCTGCTCGCTGAGATCTGAAGTTTAATGTTTCGCTGTAAGAAGTTTTCTTCCCACGCAGAGTGAACAGTGGACGCTAATGTTTTTATCACTTTTTATGAACTAAAACTCAAAGTAATGTGAGTACTTCCACGCTTTAAATGCTGCATGGTCGTACTTTCACGGTCATGGTGATGACCATCCCGCCACATTCTGCCCCCTGAGGGTGAAAACCTGCAGCTCCACGCCAGAGAGCTGCAGGAAGTGTGATTTAAGAAACTTTATTTCAGAATAAAATAAAAGATGTAATTTCCTCTGAGACCCTCGGTGTGGCTCAGGGACAACAAAAGGTCAAAATTCACACAACTAACGAGCTAAAGAAGATCAGGTGGAGGACGAGCAGCCCCAGGTTCAAATCCTCACACACACAGACACGAACCAAAGCTGTGTGTCTGTGTGTGTGCGTGTGTGAAGGTCAGTTCATTGCACATCAGGTCTGACACTGAAGCGTCACATGTGACCAATGACAGCTGCTCAGCTGCTGGGCTCCGCCCCCTGAGCGTGCTGCTGTCGGTCCACCTTGTAGAACTGGTGTTTCTGGATGTGCCGGTACAGCGTGGTGTATTTGGACACCCTCCTCATCCTCGGCAGGATGAAGGTGTGGGTGAAGTCGTCTCTGCTCAGAGCGCCGCGGCCCTCGGCTGCCAGAACGCCGTTCACAAAGTGCAAGCAGAAGCTGAAGCAGTTGTGGTTGTTTTCATCAAACCTGCGACACACAGAGAGAAAAGCTGTCGACAGATTTCTACACCTGCAGGTGATGGTGGTGATGGTGGTGATGGTGGTGAAGGCGCCGTGGCGGCGAAACACGCCTGTGTCTGGCAACCACCGCGGGTCACCTCGAACCTGTCTGACAGCGAGGGAGGCTCATAACGACAGAACGCGTTCAAGCTTCCTGCCTTCAAACAGCTCTCAGGTAAACTGTCAGGAAGGTCAGGTGTGAGTTACCTGTGCCAGGCAGGGTCCCACATAGGCCCGTCAGAGAAGCGCTCCAGGTACTGGTCCCACTGAGCGAGCAGGTGGAACATGTCGGGTCGGACCAGAGGGACGCTGATGCTGCGCTCCCAGCCGCTCTGATCCCTGCGGACGCCGCCACGAGTGTAGTTATACACAACACCTGCACACAGGTAGGAGGAGCTGATCACTCTGATCACTGGCCACAGGTCATCGATCACATTGATTATTGATCATTGTTTGGCTGCAGAGCTGAAATCTGTCAGGCGCTGCGTGGGAGGATCACATCACATCTGTCTGAGATGAATGATTCATAACGTTAAATTTAGAGAACATAAAAATAAATTATTTATAAAATCTAAATTATTAAAATTAGGAGATTTAGTGAAACTACGGACATTATTAATTACGTTTAAGGCTAAAAATTATATTTTGCCTTTTAAGTTACAAAGAGTATTTTTAACGTGTTCGGGGGGAGAAGACAGAAGGAAATTTTATTTTAAGCGTCAGCTACACAAAGATTAATGAGTCCAACGGTTAGAGGTATACGACTGTGGAAGTGTCTTCATCATCATTTAAAGAGTTGTATAAATTTACATTGTTTTAAAAAGTGTTACATGTATAAAACGATAACTCAATATGAAATTGGAGTTCATTGAAAAAGGATCCATTATTTTATTTACTCATCTTTTCTCCTTGTTACTATGTGGGGTGGTATATTCTGATTGTAAATGTGTTGTTAGGACCGGAGATAAATGTTAATGTCAGTTTGTTCCAGAGGCGGAGCCAGACATTTGAAACACCCAGGGCTTAGCCCTAAAGGGTAGTATGTATGTGGGATTTTTTTTTCCCTTGGGGGGGTAGAAATGACTGAAAGATTAATAGGCTCTGTTTTGAGTTTTGTTCAAAAAAGAATGACTTCATATAGGGAAAAATATATATCACATGTGCAGGACACCTTAAACTAGTTTTTTAATTAAGCAGCAAGGCAGAACAAAGTCAGGGCTGTATCAAGACACGAGGACTAAACCCCAATTCAACCAGACCCAGAACTGATCCAGAATTAAAACAGGACTACAACAGTTCAAAATCAGGACTACTGAGGACTTAACCAAGACAGAACCAGAATCAGAACTAGATGATAGCAGCACTAAAAATCATCATAGACCTGCACTACACTTATTTTTTAATTCTACAATATTTAGATTGAGAAAAGTTTATATAATTATTTAGCCTTGTTGTGCAAACAAGCCTGCATAACTTAATAAATATAGAATTTGAAAAATAACAAACCTAAAAAGAAACACTAGGTACGAGATACATGAGGACCTATGATACGGTGATACTTTTGGTAAACAACCATTTGACTAACATGTGTGTCTCACCTGCTCTTGTTCATCTGTTCTGTCCTCATTCTCTATCTCCCTCTCTGTTCCTCTCTCCCTCTTTGTGCTGACAATCATCAAATATACAGTTGAAACCAGATATTTACAAACTCTTCAGATAAAACACTTTTTTAATTGTAACATCAAATCAGACTAAATGTTTATTTTTTTTTAGATTGATAAATATAAAAAACATATTTGTTAACTTTAAGAGTAAAGAGAGAAACTATCTGTATTTCTTAATTGCAAATGGCACCAAATTGTATTCAAATTGAGCCACACTTATGGAGCTCCACAGTTCTTCCTGGTGTTTTGTTGACATCTCTGATGTTCCCATGTCACAGAAACAGGCTCTGTGTTTTGCCTTATATGCATCCACAGCTGTGCCACCCTCACATGGACTCTACGAACCAATCAGAAGCTTCTTCAGCTCAGAATGGAATCGTCTGGAGTTTCTTATTAATTAACAATAAACTTAGTGTATATGTACTCCTACATTTGATGAAAGTGATAAAAAATAGACAGCTCTGTCTCTCTTTATTCTGACATTTAACTAATTCAAAAGATATTTCAATATTTATCTAAAACAAAAGTTTACTCTAAATTGATGTTGTACAGTAAAAATGTTTTATGTTTTCTCCCTAAAGTGTAAATATCTGGTTACAAATGTGAATATCCTGCTGTGTACTGAAATCCCTCTTGTTTTGCATAGAAATATACTGAACAACATACAAAGCATAATATATAAAATAACATTTACCTGAGTTTTTTCTTTGAAAGAACCCTCTAATGTCCATTCTTATATTTCAGTACATAACTGAAACCGATTTAGTCGGGGAGGGTAAGAACTGAAAATATGAAATAAACACACGTAAGCTAAGACTCTAAAAAAATAGCATTTGTTCGGCTTTTCATTTCGCCATTTGTTGATTCACTTGAAGAGCGAGTAACGTAATATGGGTCAAGTGATCAGTTTGATATCAATCTTTCGTGATGCACCGTCATATTTACATTATTTGTACAGTACGAATGATTTGCTTTGGTACCTGGTCAAACTTAAGCTCTCCTTAGTATGGCTGGCTCCGTCTCTCCAACAGCGCACTCACGGGCAGCAGCTGCCCCGCCCCCTCGCTCAGTCGCTTAGTGCCTGAGCTTGGATCATACCAATATCAGGGGGGGATTCACGCACAGTCGTAAATTCCCACAGTGTGCACTATGTGCTTCGAATATTGTGTGTACTTTTTGTTTTATACAGTTGTCAGCCAGGCATCTAACTATGAAAAAATTACACTCCAAAATACCCCGGGCTTCTGACAAAACAACCCGGGCTTAAGCCCAGTAAGCCACCCCCACGCTCCGCCCCTGGGTTAGAGTTTTAGTGTTCTTTTTTGGATGCCGAAACCAGCTGCTGTCAATCGGTTGTTCAGTGATGACGCGACGAATCCTACTTCCGGGTCTAAAGTAGTCTGCGTTTAATATGGCTTTTGTGTTGTTAACATGTTTAATGTTTTGTATTTTCTTCTATTTAATCTCAAAAAGCTCCTAAAACAGTCAGTGATCACTGTTGACCTCCCTCGGCTTTTATTACCGCTAATCATTTATTTAAGCTCAGTTTTTAAAACCTTAGGATGTAACTACAGCCCAGCCCATGCAGCAGTATATGAATGACTAACCTCGTATTGTGGATGGATTATCTCAGTTGTTCTCCTGGCTGAAGTTTGGTCCTTTTACAGCATCCTGCCATGCGATTACATTTGTTCCTGACCACCGAGAACACTCACGTTAACTTTTATCGAGTGGAAAAAAAGTTAGCTTGTTTATATTATGCTAACATAGCTGTGTCGCTAGCGGTCACGTAGCACATCATTATATACCAGCTAGCCAAACTTCAGTAACCCTACAAACGTCACTGCTGTTTAGTTTTCTGTCTTCATTTATGTTGGAAGTGATAACAGAGCTGTACGTTTTAATTTGTTTCCAAAACCCCGCAGTCAGGACATGCTATATTGTATTTAGATAGAAGCTAGCGAGCTAACTCCCTGCTAACTTCTAACTCCGTTAAATGTCATAAATTCCGTTTTCATGGATGCCTGGATGTTAAACTCAATTGTTACACCTGGTAGAGCAGAACGCTGATCATTTTATTAAAGATGAAAGACTTTAGACAGTTTTTCAACTCTCAGTAATGCCATAGTGATCGTTTGATATATGGACCTGCAGCGGAGTTTAGACCCAGACACGGCTAGTGACGTCAGACTGAACAACCGGATATAAGTTGGATTGTAGAGAGGGGGCGGGGTTTAATAAGAATATTTTCTTCTTCCTGCTGCTTTTCACACGTGGTTGCTTTACTGATAGAAAGTGTGGTTGGTTTGTCTGAAAGAACTAACTGTGGAAGCTGTTGCACCAAGTGTGAAATAAATAAATGAAATGTTTAAACGTGTCTGAAAGTTTGATTTTGGTGTCAGTCGGTAAAGTCGCCGACTGACAATGACGCTCTGCACTCGGCTTCGTCCTTCCTGTCGCTGTGACCGAACTGAGACGTGGTTGAACGTCTTTGATTAGATTAAATCAGGGATATGGCAGGTCGGGGGCGTGGTCAGCGATCATGTAGCGTCCTATTGCGAGAGGATGGTGACTGTCTGCGAACGTTTGATCTGAAGCTGAAACGACACCTGACCAAGCCTCCACCTGTCTGCTCGCACCTGAGCCCACGATCACCAGGTGACCTTTGACCTCAGAGACCTACCTTTGGTGTTGGAGATGCCGGTGTGAAGATCAGCCGCCCCATCAAAGTCTCTGAGGATCAAACAGCAGGATACACTGGTTAGACTGGGTACACTGATTGGACTGGTGGGATTGGTTTAGTAATTCTACTGGGTACACTGGTTATACTCGTATCACCTGGTCCAGTATGATGACTGGTTCAAACTTCTTCATGTTCCTGTGGGTACACTGACTGTGTACCTGGCAGTGTGCTCACCTGTGTGTAAACACCTGAGTACCTTCACCTGTGTGTGTGTGTTACCTGTCCAGGTTGTCGTGTGCAGGTGTGACCAGCAGGCAGCAGGAGGTCTTGTGCCCATTGGTGAAGGGGGAGGGGAGGCTGACCGGCGCCTCCTGCAGTCTGCTCCCCCTCAGCTCCTCCCCGCAGCTCGGGCACTGCTCCGGCACAGAGAAGCAGAAGATCTCCTTCTGACAGTGAGTCAGACGGATCACGCTGCGCTCCATCACCTCCTCCTCTCTCGTCTCCTCTCGTCCTGCTCCTCCGTTTCTCCTCTTTGACTTCTGCCTTCCTCTTCTTCTCTCCTTCTCCTTTTCAACCGTCTGCGCGGTTACAGCCTATCAGATAACATCACTGTCTGGCCCCAGCCTATCGGGTTGTGGGTGCAGTCACAACGATGGTCACGTGACCAGGCTCACCTGTCACTTTTTCCCCTCGAACAAGGCGACCTTTGGACTGCGTGGGCAGTGTTGTCACGGAAACGGGACCTGAGCTGCAGTGCATTCTGGGATTTCAATGTCCTGTAATCACAGGCCTGCTTTCAGTTAAAGAGCACATTTAAAAACACAAAATGCTGCACAAAAACAAAACAAAGAGCACATCAGCTCACACCGCTCCAAACGGAAAAAGAGACTTAAAAACAGGAAGCGAAGATGCCTGTCTCATATTTAAAGGCAACGTATTCCAAAGTTTGGGAGACACAGTTGAAAAAGTTCTCCTCCAAGCTCCAGCCTAGTTTTCGGGACAACCAAAAGCAGCTGGTCAGCTGATCTAAGGGCCGGCGAGGGAATACAAGGCTGAAGAACATCAGAGAGGTATGGAGGAGCAGGACCGTTCATAAGCCAACGTTAGGACTTCTGTGATAAACAGGAAGCCGACGATGAGAAGATGCTGTGTGTGATAGTGAAGAGACGGGCAGCAGCATTTTGAATAAGCTGAAGACGTTACAGCAGGAAGTGCCATACAAAATAAAAGACAGAGAAACTTGAGAACAACTGTCATTATTTCCAGAGAACAAGGAGAACAGCCGGCTTTGACTGCAGTCGTCACTGAGCTGTGATTGGCCGAGCACACAGGACACGCCTCAGTTTCTCCGTCTCACCTGTCAGGAACACCTGATACACGAGCTTCGAAGTCAGATGACAGATTTGCATCTCACTGGAAGTCGACCAATCATATTTCACTTAGATGGAAACCAGAGGTTCCCGTCACGCTGACACAGTCAGAAGATCTGACATCATCAGGTTTTATCATCACGTTGAACGTGACTGAAGCAGCTCTGCTTCAGGGCAGCTTCCTGTCCTGAGACTCTCTGATCGTCTCCTCCATGTTTTGGTTCTGCACCAGATGAGCCGATCGTATTTCATTTCCCCGATCTCCTGCACGACGACACAGCTGACCAGCCCTCCCCTCCGTCAGCACCAGCTGCTGCCTGTGGGCCTCAATCTGCCAATTGCAGTGACTTTTACTTTCCACAATAAAACAGACCTTTCAGCTTTTATTTTGAAGAGCTGGATGTAAATGTGCTCGTCAGCACTCGGCTCAGCTTCTGTAGTTTTAATGTGGCTGTAAATAAAACAGGCACTATGGAAAGATTCAGGCGTGTTTCACAGCATGTCTGTGGGATCGCACATTCCGACCTCATCATCAAACACACTGCTGCTTGCGCTCTATCTAACCTATTAGTGTTACGTGGGGTTGGGGGGGCACCGAGGCTCTCATTAGTTCCCAGAACTTAAAAAAATTGTGCAAACTCGTTGCCTCAAAAAACGAAGTAATGCTTACTGAAGATAACGACATCATGCTCAAAGTTTCTGACTGTGCAGGACGAACTTTTACCCTCTGACAAACATTTCAGCTTCTACTACATTCAAAAACTATTTGTGGTAACTTTTTAAAATTTGCTGACACACTAATTAAATGCAACTAAATCACATTATGTTTGATCTCGTTGAACTTTAGAGATTTCTGGTACAACATTTAATATAAACACTGTATGATTTAAACATAATAATTAACAACAAACTTTTATTTTCAAATCCACAATCAGGTGATCATCCAACATCCTGTTCTACTGAACAGCAAATGAGTACAATGTCATCACTGTAGCTTTTGTTATTTAATTATATTTTAAATATTGTCATGGTCCTGAGTCTGAGGACTCGGTGTTTTGTGTTTCTTTACATTATTCTTTGTTCTCGGTTATTCTGTTTTGTCTTTTGTTTAGGTTTGCTATGTGTTAGTGTTTTGTTTCATGCCTGCCTGTGTTCTCTCTGTCTGTCCATGGTGTTATTGTGTCTGCTCATGAGTCTGCCTGTCAAGTTCAGTGTCCTGTCTGGTTCTCTGTGTCTGTTAGTTTCCTGTTTTATTCTGAAAGTTCATGTCTCATGTCAATGTGTTCAGTTTTACCTCTCCCCTGTCTCGTTAGCCTGATTTCTCCCAGCTGTGTCTCCCTCCTGTGACCCATTCCCTGATTACTCCCCGTGTATTTAAGCCCTGTGTTTTCCTGTGCTCTCTGTCATGTCGTCTGTTTAATTCCTTCTCAGTCTGCATTATTCTGTTACCCAGTAGTCATTCTGCGTCTCTCTGCCATCTCTCTTTGTGCATTTTGCTCCTCCTCCCGTGAGTGTCTGGTTTAAGTTTTGTTCTTTAGTTTTCCCAGTTTAGGTTTGTTTACTCCCCGCTCTGCTCTTCCTGTTTTGTCACCACCTCACCGCTGTAAATAAACACTCACTCGCACCCCAGCCAGTACCTGCATTTTGGATCCTTTTTTCAATACACCACACGACTGCCCCCAGCCGTGACAAATATGATCACATTTAAATGTTATATTTAGTTGTTAGCATATTTAATAATCTCACAATGAAACAAAGTCTCAGATGTAATTATTCTAAACCAAGTTTAGGCTTCCTGTAGCTTTGTATTGTAGTTACATCACTGACACTGACACGCCCACAACCCCTCAGCCAGGAGGCATCCTGTCAGACCACGTGAACTGGCTGCTTTCAATGTGGATGAGCAGCAGCTCTACTCTGAGCCCAGCTTGAGTGACTCTTCACCAGGATGGACTCCCTCCACATCACTGCAGCTGTGGCCCCAATCCATCCATCTCTCGTTCTCGTGAACAACACACTCCTCAACTTGGGGCACCAACTCATCCCTGATGCAGAGTGGGCACTCCATCCTTTTCTGGCTGAGGATCGTGGCCACAGATTTAGAGGTGGTGACTCTCATTTCAGCCACTCCACACTCAGTCGTGATTCGCTCCAGTGAGAACAGGAGGCCACCACCTGATGGCTGACCAAGCCCAACAGAATCCCGACAGGACCCCTCTTCAGCTTCATACTCATTACCACCAACAGGCACCAACCACCCTAAAGTCACAGCTCGTTGCAGCAGCCTCAACAATATCCATCCTCAGCAATGTTCCCTCACTGCTGGCACGGTTTCTGCACACAGAAAATCTGCTTTGTGCACAAAAACAAATCTAACCTGAATTGAAATTAAAACTTTAACAATTCTGTTTTGCAGTGTTAGTCAGTGAGTGACTGGCTGATGCGATTCACATTCGTATATACGCAGCTAAACAACGTGGTTGACAGGCTATGACAGCGTCCTTATGTTAGTTGTTAGTTGTTTAGGGAGGGGGAAGTTTTAGGAGTGACGGCGTGTTTGAGATGTGAGAGATTTGCGACGTTTAGCGCAAATCTTGTGTAGTTAGTGTGTAGTTAGTGTGTAGTTAGTGTGTAGTTAGCGTGTAGTGTAGTGTGTAGTTAGTGTGTAGTTAGCGTGTAGTTAGTGTGTAGTTAGCGTGTAGTTAGCGTGTAGTTAGTGTGTAGTTAGCGTGTAGTTAGCGTGTAGTTAGTGTGTAGTGTAGTCAATATTTTTGTGTGTGTCAGAACAATGAGGCGCCTGCTGAGTGTTACAGGTGTTACAGCAGTGACACATCTGCTGCTGTCAGGCCTGCAGGTATCAGGCTGTTGTTCTCCTTCATCTCATAGTGGACAGAAATTATTTTTGGAGCGGCACAAATAATCTGTGTGGCATCAGATTTGATGCAGAACAGCTGATTGTTCTGTAAATAGTTTGAAATGTTTATTTAATAAACGCCTTGGCTGCATTTTTAGGTAAACAGCTGCAAAACACTTTGTTGTTTGCATGACTCAGTTACTTTTTTGAAGAAGTAACTAAATAATTAATTACCCAACATTGGTCATTATTTACTGTATTTGCAGACAGAGTTACAGACTCTCTCCCAGACCACAGACTCACAATACAGTCAGAGCTTTATGAAAGAATAAAGAAAGTTGTGTTTTCAAAATTGGATTTCAAGTTATTTTTCCTTCCAATAGTGTTAACATGCTGCACATGGACAAGATCTTTTTTAAATTCTCATTGTCAGTGGGCTAATCAGGTAATTAAAAGTCATCTAACATAAATGCTGTAATTTGATTATTTTAATAAACATGTAACTTGCATGGATTGGATGCTGGCGTGACCACAGTGCACACGTCTGCTGTCGCTCACAGTGGTCCAAGGGACGCTCAGGGAGTTTGTGTGCTCAGACACATGAAACATTAGAGGGAACTTTGGTCCTCTGCCTCTGTCAGAATGCTGTTGGGTGCACTAGGTGTGTCCGGCATGCTCACTGCCACCTGAGCCACCTCAACACCAGGTGGTGATTTGTTGAAAGCTCAGCTATCAACTCAGTATCAGGCTAGCTCCCCACCCGAGAGGTGACATTCAGCGTCCTGTTTGTCAGTCTGCATAGCCCTGACCACCACCTGCCACACTGCTTCTGTGCGAGGGAGGAGGAACACACTGACGTGGCATTTTCAGACCATCTTGTTTTATCCTTCAGCCGAAGGGAGACTGCCTTTTGTCTGTTTCTTTGCAAAATCATTCGATAATGAGATAAAATAAATACAATGACCATTTCATCTGGTTTTATTTAACATTTTTCAGGCATTTGTGTGACCTAAGATGTAATTCTTTGTTTTTGTCTAGAAACAAAAAAGTAAATCAAAAATGAACTAATTAATCATTTTAGTTGCACTTATATCCACACCTGGGGGACTTATTTGCATGTTTTATATACAAACTTCCAACAGTAACATAAACTGTCAGATGATGAAGTAAAATATAAAATACAGTGAAGCAACAACAGAGAGAGGAATAAAAGGCTCTCTACAGGAAGGGCCAGAGTCTCTGAGGTCCTTCAACATCTGTCGGACAACGCTCAGGATTTTCTATGAGTCTGTTGTGCGCTATCCTCTGTGCTGTTGCATGCTGGGGCAGCAGGCTGAGGGTCGCAGACGCCAACAGACTGAATAAACTGATCACAACAGCAATGTTGTGAGGACGGAGCTGGACTCTCTTAAGGTGGTGTCTGAGATTTTACCCACAATGCACCACTGAACGACACAGGAAATCATTCCTGCCGGTGGCTGTCTCCCTCTACAACTCCTCCATCTAACACACTGTAAACGCTGCAACAGTTACAGCCTTTTGCACACACTGTTTTCTTATTCGGTAATGTTGATGTCTATCTTCTTGATATTTATTTACAATGACATCTGTCAACCCTGGATATTTATTATTTGGTGATTTGCATATATTGTGCTATTCCTTATATTGTATTGTTAAATAGTCCAGTCTGTTTTTCTTAATGTTACTGTACTGGAGCAACTGTAACCCACATAATTTCCCTTGGGATTAATAAAGTATGCTGATTCTGAAAAGCTCGAGTAAAGCAGGCAACCTATGAGTTGTAATCTACTCAAGTACAATATGGGGTAAATGTACTTAGTTACATTCCACCACTTTTTCTAATTTAAGTCAACTCAAATAAGCTTATCAGCTTTTTGAATGAAAACTTGTTGTTGATAAAAACTGAGTTCAGGCTACTTATTTTCGATTAAAGACAATATTCGGTTTACCAGTTTACCACTCCAGCTTAGTCGACTCTTGGAGTCT